GTAAGAAACGAGGACCACAGGCACAGAAGGACCACAGCAGAGCCCCTGCCATGGGGCAGTTCCCAAGGTCAAGATGTTACAATGCCCCTGCTCTGTGCCAGGCTGCCACTCTCTCCCGGCCCCCTCTGAAGTCAGTCAGCATCACCATGTTCATTGTGTGGGTGAAGATGCCAGAGAGGGAAGATGTCCAGGTCACACCACAATGAACAGTGGCAGAGCTGTGAGTAAAACCCAAGACTGGCCAAATCTGGGGCCCACGTTCTGTCCACATTACCAAGCGACCTGACAAAGCTTAGGGGCCTGGTTTTGGTGCTACAACTGGATCTGCCTCTGAAGCTCCATGCCAACTCACCAGCTCCATCATATCCTTCCCTGTGCCCTGGAATTAGGGGAGGGAGAAGGGAAAGACAGAGGGAGACTCGTCCAGAGGAGATGAGGCTGACAGCAGAGGGGAGCCTGACTACAACCCCTCCAAAGATCCTACTGACATGGAGACACGCATGCTCAGCTTGGCCCTGGAGAGGATTCCAGAACTCAGAGGTAGAAATTAGGAAGAGAGATTTCAACTCACAGAGAGGATGTTCCCAAGGAGGAATGAGCTCCCCACCAAAGTATTCAAGGGCTTCAGGTATATAGTGACTCAGGTGCTGCCTTTTGGATTGGAACTGAGGCCATCTAGATTTCTTTTAAAGCTATGAGTCAGTGGTTCCATTCAGGATCCCGGGCAGGTGGTAGGCAGAGATGGGTGAAATCCAGGCTATGGGGCACCTCTGAACTCAGAGGCCTATTGGGGTCCTTCAGGCAGCTCAGCCTGGCAGCCCCAGGACAAAGCCTAAATTCCAGCAGCTGGCAGTGCCCTTTGTGTCCCTCATCCTGCCCCAACACACACACGCATGCACACCATGCTCTGGCTCTCCAATTTGCAGTCTCTCTAGGCAAAAGACCACAAATGGCAGCCCTCAGCCCTGCCCAGCTGCCCTGCCTAGAAGGGCCTTCTGCATGACCGCTCCCCCTGCCCACTCCTGGCTCAAGATGCATCAATAGGACCCATTCTTCATTCCTGTGGTTTCTCAGTGCCAGCTGTGGTTACCATGACAACCCAACAAGTGGGCAGAGCTATTAGTACTAGGGCCTTGGGACATGCAGATTAAATTTCACTATTAGACATTCATTCCTTTGAACCATTTTCATATAGAGCATAGGCACCACTTTCATACTTCCCATGACCATTATGTCCATCATTAATCAACCACAGTATTTTTCGCACTGTCCCTGGATTTGAATCATTTCACTAAGACAAGCTGTCCAGGCAGCCTCTACCAATTACACTGCAGTTGGTACAGGAGATGGAAACAATTTCCTATCTTTGCTTTGAAACATGATGATGCTCCTTGGAGCCCTAAGTCATGGAATATTAGAGACGATCCAATGCTACCCCTTCATGACACAGACGATTACGTACTTTGAAACAAAGTTCAGACCAGTCTCTTGCCCTATGTCTCACTGGAAATGCAAACAAACTAAGGAAAAGATCCAAGTCGAAACCTGTACAGGACTTTCCAGCTTGTCACAGTGGACAGTTAACTTCATCATGACTGAAGATTCACACAATCCCAACGAGGGAGTCATTTTTGTTGCCATCTGGCTGATAAGTGCACCAGTGAGGATCAGAAAGGTGGAGAGTTGTCGAGCTTGCACAAGCCAGGAGGCAGAACTGCAATTCAAGCTGTTTAGCTCCCTTATTCCTTTCCAGCCTTGGGCCCAGACCTAGGGGGTCCCCAGAGTTCCTGCCAGGAACTTCAGACCAATTCCACATTCTCATGCTCAGCCGGCAAAGATTTGGATAGAGGGGAAAAAAGGGGGTGTCACAGATTCATCTGACCATATTCCAAAAACTCGTGCAGCTGTTAGGACCAATAGGACACAGACCTCTTTGAACACATTCTTGAATTCATGGCGGCTTTTTGTCCTTTCCCATATTTCTCAATCAGTCAATACCAACTGCTGTGGGAAGGTCTGTGAGACCTTCAAAGGGAGTTCTGTGAGGTGGGAATCTTGGCTCCTTTCATCTCTGACTGATGTTCAAGAAGAAAATTAAATTATATGTGCAATGAATTAAACATGATCATTAAGACAGGTTTTTAAAATGTGCAAACCAAGTTACATTTAGAACATTAATAAGTGATACACAAAGTGCAAAAAAGCAGGGTTTCTCATTTCTAGTTCTAATAACTAATTTACAGGAAATGCAGAAGATCAGTAAATTCGCTCAACCACACCTGGTAGGCAACAATGAGCACAACAAGACTGTAGAATTGTGTACCAAGCCACCCAATTTAATTTCTTTTTGAGATGGGATCTCATTATGTAGCCCAGACTGGCCTTGAACTCATGATTCTTTTGCCTCAGTCTCCCAAGAAGCTTGGATTATTAGATAACAGGCATGCACCACCATGGCTGGCTTGTTACCCAGTTTCTTTTTCTTTTCTTTTCCCCTCCCTCACTTCCTTCCTAGGTTTCTTCTTGGTACTAGGGAATGAACCCAGGACCTTTGCACTGAGCTACATCTTCTGGCTGCTATGCAGTTTCTTTCTTCCTTTTTCACTACCCAGTTTCTTTAACAAGTAAACTACAAAAAAAAAAAAAAAAAAAAAAAATGCCAGTGACATGCTTGTATTCCCAGCACTCTGGAAAGGTGGCAGGAGGACTATAAATTTGAGCCCAGCCTGGGCAACTTAGACTCTGACTCAAAAGAAAAAAGAAACTTTTAAAGGGCTGAGTGGGCCAGGGATGTAGCTCAGTGGTACAGTGCCTGCCTGGCAAGTGTGAGGCCCTGAGTTCGATTTCTGGTACTGGGGGAAAAAAAGGGCTGGGAATACAGCTCAGTGTGAAGGGCCCCTGGGTGTAACCCCCAGTAAAAACTTCTGTTCTGCCTTCCTTCCTTCCATGTAGTGCTGCGGATGGAACCTAGGGCCTCATACATGCTAGGCGAGTGGTCTACCACTTGAGCTGAGCTGCACCACCAGCACTAGGAGGGAGAATCTTAAAAAAGTTATATTGCATATCATCAAATGACAATGCATGAATCTTACTTGAGTCCTGATTTTTTAAAAAATATCTGTAAAAAGTTAGGAAAATTGTAAGACAACTGAAAATTTGAAAGCTTGCTAATTGATGATTTAGGAATCTTTGTTAATGTTTTAGGGACCATAATAATGGTAATATTTATGTCAAAAAAGAAGTCCTGGGCCGGGGATTTAGCTCAGTGGCACTGTGCCTGTCTTGTAAGCGCAAGGTCATGAGTTTGATCCCCGGTACCAAAAAAAAAGAAGTCTTTACTGTCTAGAGATATACACTGAACTACTGAATGATGAAATCTATTTGGGATTTGTTTCAAAATAAGATGAGAAGTAGGAAAGCTGGTGGACTGAGGGCCAAGCAGGACTGGGTGATGAGTAAGTGGGGTTCACCATCCTGTTCTGTTTCTGTGAATATCCCAACTTCTCTGTAAGAGGAAAAAAGTCTGGGCTGGGGAATGAAAAAATAAGGTGGACAAAATATTGATAATTGTTTAAGGTGGGTGATTCTACCCTCATGTATGTTTGAAAATTTCTACAATATAAATTAATAAAAGAAGACAAAGGATTCTTATATTCAGAAAAGCTGGGAACTTCAGCACCAAGTTACCTGAAACTCATTTTGCCACTTCAGTACTGTACCATGGGCCAGTCCCTTTTCAATGGATGAATGGACATGGCTTTCAACAAGAACAATGGCATGGGACAGTGGGGTCTGGGACAGTCTGGCCTAGGTAAACAGGCCAAGGCCAAGGACAAAGGAGGCAGGAAGGGGCTAAGGCAGCATCTGCCCAAAAGGACCTTCTGGCTCAGGGGAGCCGCCAAATGCCATGACTGAACTGCAGAGGAAGAGCACAGGACGCCAGGTGCGGTGGCACAGCCTATAATCCCAGCTACTTGGGAGGCTGAGGCAGGAGAGTCAAAAGTTCAAGGCTAGGTGCCAGGGATTTAGCTCAGTGGTGCCACCGCCTGCCTCATAAGCACAAGGTCCTGAGTTTGATCCCTAGTACTAAAAAAAAAAGTTTAAGGCTAGCCTGGGTAACTTAGTAAGAGCCTGTATCAAGATTTTTTAAAAATTTTGGTGTTAGAGGGGTATTAGTGGGGATGTAGCTCAGTGGTAGAGCTGCTTGTGTAGCATGTGGAAGGTCCTGAGTTCAATCCTCAGTTCAGAAAGGAGAGAGAGAGAGAGACAGAGAGAGAGACAGAGAAAGAGACAGAGACGGGGGGCGGGGAGGAAAGAGGGAGGAAGAAAGGAAAGGAAGGAAGGAAAAAAGGATGGAAGAAAAGAGAAGGGGAAGGGAAAGGGAAGAGAAGGAAGGAATGAAGGAAGGAAAGAATAGAGGGAGGGAGGGAAAAATGAGCAAGCAGGATATAGAGTGAGGAGACCGAATTCTCTGGCCCAACTTTTCACCAGCACCATGACCCTGAGCAAGTTCCCACCTTCTCTGAGCTGTGGGCTTCCACCTACAAAATAAGAATGACAGTCACTGCTGCTCCAGCCACCCCCACTGAAAGGGGAATCATAAAACTGGGAGTGTTAGCAGGTGTGGTAGCACACATCTGTGATTCCAGCACTTGGGAGGCTAAGGCAGGAGGATTACACACAAGTTCAAGGCCAGCCTGAATTAATGAGACCTTGTCTCAATGAATGAATGAATGAATGAACAAATAAATAAATGAGCAATTTTTGTGGCCCATGCAAATGTAAGCTGTCCTGTCTAAGCCATGCTCTAACTTTGGTTTCTCTCACCCACTTACCCAACCTCAATGGAAGCCAGGGAACTCCCTAGGGAAAGGAGCGATAAAGGGTGGGCCCAAGAAGTCTCCTAGCTAGTGTCTCACCTCTGGAGCAACCTCAGCTCAGTCTATTCCCTCAGGTGACCCAGGGCCCCTGATTAGCTGTGTAATCTCAAATGTGCCCACCTGCCCCTCTTCATCCTGGTGGGGCAGAGGAAGGCACTGGGGTAAAGTCCTTCATAGTTCCAGCTGAGCGCCTGGTTGTCCTCCAGGCCTGAGCAGGTGCTGGGGACATCGGATGTCAGGCTTGGTCTTTGCCTCAGGTGCTCACAGCCCAGTGGGGTAGATGTGACACAGATGAGGTGCTTGCTGAGGGCCAAAGAAGCTGTGGCCAACCTGGGAGCAGGGGAGAAGCACCCTTGCTCCCCATGGCTGCTGGAGTGAAACGATGCTCCTTTGGCACCTGAGAAACAAGGACACCTTAGTCAAGCAAAGCAAGGAAGGGGAAGATGATGTAGGGGAGCAGAGGCAAAGTCCCCAGGGCAGAAGCCCTCAGCACATCTGCCCTACAGCCAAGGGCCTGTAGAGGAGACACTCACAGGGCTGGTGTAGAAGTGTGAGCCCCGGAATGACCAGAGGGGAGAGCACACTAATAGTAATGAGAGAGCTGGGGCTCCCGCCTCACTGCTGTGCACCAGCACCTGACCCACTTAATATTATTTCAGAGCATCCTTTCAGATGAGGAAATTGAGGCCCAGGGAAGTTACAACATGTGCCCAAGCTCATACAACCAGTCAGTGGTGGAACCTAAACTCATGCCCAGGCAGCCAGGCCCCAGGGCTGAGTTCTTAACCAAACCTTGAAGATTTATCCTGCAAGTGGTGGGTGCTCCTGGAGGGCTCTACAGGACAGAGGTGACTTGACAAATTCCTGTGGTGGTGAGTTTCACTCAGGCCCAGCTGCAGATCCATGTCCAGGCAGGACATGGGTGTGCAGCCTTGTCCCTGGGGCAGGACAGGGTGATGGGGCACACAGCCCGGCACTGGCTTGGAGCAGCAGATCATCCAATAGGAAGCCTCAGAAAAGAGTCTATATCCGCCTCACCCACTGCCCCACTTAGGGAGCGCTTGCTCTGGGGCAGGAGCTCTCTGTTTGGGCCTCACTATTCTTCCCAGCAAACCTAAGAGGTGGTCATTATCCTCCCACTTCCCAGAGAGGAAGCTGAGGCTGGGCCATCGGCTCAAGGCCAGGTGGGAAGCTCCAGGAAGTACAGTGGCCTGGGCCTCCTCCAGAGCCCTCTCTTATTACCACGCTACAGCCAACCCACTCCTTGGAGCCCCAGCCATCTTTTCTAACAAGGGCCCAGCTATTATCAGCGGGCGTCTTCACAGGAGATGCAGAAACATCTTCAGGAAATGGCCTTCCAACACACACAGCCCAAGGATGTGAGACCAGGAGCCCTGGAGTGGGAGGTGGTGTGGACAGGGTGCTGAATTTCTAGCCTGTTTCTGCCAAACTCCTTCCTCCTGCACCTCGGTTTCCCCACCTGAACAATTTAGAACAGACAGACATGAGCTGTAAATCCTACTCCAAGTGGAAGCTTGGGGACTCAGACATGGGGTTTACAACACCTTGCAAGGCTGCTCCAGCCCTGACCACTGGCAGGAGCAGAGTCTGCAAATGGTTTGCATCTGGAGAACCCCCACGCCCAGCGCCTGAGCATTCCCAGATGCCCCTCTGCCTCTCCACCCAAAGGTGGGCCCTGGTCCTGCCTATCACAGCCCCCAAGTGGCTGCACTGCAAGGCGTGGGAGCCAGGACTGGGGCTGCCCAGCTGTGCCCCAGCCCCAAGGGTGGCCTTGCCTGCCTCCTTCCCTTGCTGGGCCCTTGGCTTCTAGATTACTCCTTGGAATGAAGAGGCTGGGCGGTGACAGGGAAGGCTCCTACCAGCTCTGACATTTATTATTTCAGGATCCCTTGGCCTCTGGCTGTTTTCCTTCCTGCCCTGCTAGCACCCGTGCCGGGCCATGCGCCCCATGGTGGGGCCTCCGCAGACTGTCCCAGCCTGGGCACCTGTCCAGGCTTGCTGGCTCAGCCCCACCACTGTCCCTGGCAGGGGGTGGGCAGCAGAGAGGAGGAGGAGTGGCAGGAAGGGAGCGGTGGCCTCAGCTATGCTGAGGCCTCTGCAAACCCCAAGTTTCCTGGCTGGGATTTTCCTCAGGAGACTGCTCGGCAGTGATGAGCTAAGAGAGCAAGAACTCCGATGGGCTGATGGCCGAAGATTCCCAAAGATTCCTGCCAGACCCCTGGCCAAAAGCCCTGAATTCCACCTAGCCCTGAAGGAGACTGCCTGCTAGGACGGAGCAGCCCAGGGTCTGGTCCCTGCCACTGTCGGGGCTACCATGTTGGTCAGGATGGGACGGCCCCCCCCCGCCCCTGGGACTTGCCACCCATTGCTAACAGCTTGCACACCAGCCTGTGGGACTCTTCTCAATTTCCTGACTGTGCTAAGCTGTGAGCAGCTGCCAGACCTTTGGTCATGCCGCCTTCTCTGCCTGGAGGACTCTTCTCCACTCTGACTAGCAAACACTGCATCTTTCCTGACTCAGCTTATCAATCACTCCCTCCCGACCACAGCAGAACTGAGCCCACTGTCGGCTTTTATCAGAGCACCTGAGACACTGTTTACCACACACGTCTGACAGGGGTTTGCCTCATCTGCCCCGGTGTTTGTAGCACCCAGCACAGGGTCCAGCACAAGGGTGTCCATAAAGACTTGTGGGAAGAATGAGTGAACATTATTAGCAAGGCCCTGTGGGGATACAGAAAAAGCAGCAGGGGTTAAGAATCCAGCTTTTATTGCATACTGTCCTGAGGTGCAAATTCTAGTTCTAGCATTTTTAGCTGTGTGACCTGACACACATGACTTAGCTGCTCTGAGCCTCTATTTCCCCCTCTGTCAAAAAGGATAATAGAGGACTGATCTGGATTGGACAGTTAAGCACCTATCTGGGTACGCGCCACTAGGCTCCACAGTAGCCGATCCTGCCCAGCACTTGCCTCCTCTGTATGCCCAGGCTGCCTAGGGGAATCACATGCAGTGGTTTAAAAAGAAAAAAAAAGGATGTCAGGGTCTCACTTGAGACCTGTTAAGTCAGAGGCCCTGGGGATGGGTGGGGGAACCAGATGTCACCAGCAGAGTGAGCAGTGGGGCCAACAGCACAAGTCCAAATCCTGGCTCTATCACTTACCCCGAGTGAAGTTGCCAGATTTCTCAAAAATAAATACAGAACATTCAGTTATTTGGATTTTGGATGGTCAATGAATAACTTTTAGGTTAAGTACATCCCAAATATTGCGCAGAAATCCTGGATGTCATTTGGCAACCCAACTTACTAGGTCACTTTACCTCGAGCTGCCTTAAGTTACCTTATGTGGAGGTTATGTGAGTTAACATAAGGAAAATGCTTACAACACTGCTGCTATTCCCGTTTTTATTGCTTTTAAAGCAACCCAAACAACATGCGTGAACTTTGAAAACATTATGTTAAGTGACAGAAACCAGACACAGAAAGCCATGTATTGTGAGCTGCTTTGTATGAAGTGTCCAGAACAGAGAAACCCACAGAGACAGAAAGTTGCTGGGGCTTGAAAAGGGGGAATAGGGGGTAATTGAGTTCAGGGTTCCTTGTTGGGGTGCTGGGAGTGTTCTGAAACTAGCTAGTAGTGATGATTGCACAACATTATGAAGACACTAAAGGGCACTAAATTGTATGTTTTTAAATGGTTAAATATTATGTTATGTGAATTTTATCTCAGTGTTTAAAAAATCTACCTAAATGCAACCCAGGGGATTGCAATGTGCAGCCAGGAACTTCTGAGTAAGCTCTTAGCAAATGTTTGATGAAAACGAGTGGATGGGAGAGCAAAGGGCAGACCTGAGGGGAGATCCTGCCTCATTCACACCCAGGCTCAGTCTTCATTCCTGGACACCTCCAAGGTACATGCTTTGGAGCCCAGACTGCACAGATAATTTTACTGCTCACTTATAGTAACTGTCTCATCTCTGTTGCAATTATTCTCCCTTTTCTCTGTATGGTTCCTGATCTCTCTAACCACCCTGTGTGCAGGCTTGCTTATGTTTTCAGTAAAAATAAATTTTAAAAATTATTCAGTACCTGGTATGTGGTATGTACCAGGTATATGACAGGTGCCTTATATGTAATCCCCTTGAGCAAATCTATAAAAGAGTTATCCTCTCTGACTTACAGATGGAGAAACCAAGATTCAGAAAGGTTATTTGCCCAAGGTCACACAGCCAACAGGAATTCACCCACTTCTGTCTGGCTTCAGTAACCAGCCCCTGGTCACAGAATTCAGCCACATCTGGGTATGCAGTGGGCTGTCAGTCAGCTCTTCTCTGGCAGAGTCCTCCTCTGAAATGGGGACCTTGTCTGGTCACCTCCATGCCCGCAGTCGCTGCCTCTGTACATAGCAGGCGCTCTGTAAATATGGTTTAATGGATGACTGACCCCAAATGGCCTACAATAATAGCTTACCAGCACTGTTTTCACTCTGACTGCTCATCAGAGTCACCTGGGAACTGCTGGGACACTCACTTGCTCAGACCTCACTGCTGGGAGATTCTGATTCCTAAGGCTCAGGGTGGAGCCTGAGGCATCTGAGGCTTTAAAAAGCTCAGTCAAAGTCTAAAACCAGCCTAGTCAGTGAACCTTCAGCAGCTGCTCCCTGCTCAGGCTCTGAGCCCTCTAAGCATTCCCATGGCCTGCCTTCATCCGTGGAGCCTCTCACTGTGCAGGGTGGGAGTGTGTGTGTGCGTGTGTGTGCGTGTGTGTGTGTGTGTGTGCGCGCACGCGCACGCGTGCACTCACTGTCTCAGGTGGTCTGCCCAAGAGAAAATGGCACAAAAATCTGTTCCTAATGTCACCAACAACCTCTATATTGCCACAGCCAGGGACACTCTCTTTATCTTTCTTTCCTTTTCTAAAAAAAAAAAAAATTTTTTTTTTGAGACCAGGTTCTCATTAAATCACTAAATTGCCCAGAGTGGGCTTGACCTTGCAATCTTCCTCCCTCAGCCTCCCAGAGTGCTGGGATTACAGGCACGGCCCACCACACCTATCTCTCATTTTCTTATTTCACCTGAGAAGCACCTGGGCAGCTGAGCGTCAGTTGCTCCCCAGACATGCCTCCCAGAGGCAATCCACTCTTGATTTCCTTCCTTCTGCACTGGCAGGTCCTTCTCTGACTCCCTCATTCACAGAAAGTCCAACTGATAACCACAGTGAGGAAGGGCGAGAATGGTGGTGGTGTGAGAGCCTTCTGGCTTGTTCAAAATTACAGAGGGATGCTGGGAAGGGGACTCTGGAGACCAGCCTGGGAGAGGCATGAGTGTAGTCTAAGTGAAACTGGCAAGCGAGCAGCTGGACATGAGACTCTGAGCTAGAGGTACAAATGTATGAGTCACCTAGAGGAGGGAGGTGACACAAGCTATGGGTGTGGATGAGACAGCCTGCAGAATGAGGCTAGAGGTGGAGAGGTAGGACCCAGGACCAAACCTTCAGAAAGGCCTTGACAAGGAGGATGAGCTTTCCTGCCACTTGGTACAACATTTCTAATAGGTAATTTCTAACCTATTTGTTTACTTGATTCCTGTCTGTCTTCCCCAAGAAGACTGTAAACTGGAAGGGCAGGGCCTGCATCTCTTTTACTGAGCAATGTGCCTGCCCAGTGCCCAACAGGGCCTGGCATGCTGCTATGGCCCTCGGCAGAGCCAGCTTCATCCACTCCTTGGACAATATGACTGGTTTGTCAGTCTCTACTGCCCATTAAAAAGTCCAAATGCCTAACTGGCATTCAAGGACCTCCAAGTCTTGCTGCACCCCCTAAGCATTCCGAGCCATCCTTTCAATTCTCTTCCACCCAAGCTTTGCCAGCTACGGTTCATGTACTTGTGGGAATCCATGCAAATGCTCTAAAGCAGGGAGGTACAACACAGGATGGGCACAGCACTTCTCCCTGTAGCCGAGAGGATGCCAAGTGGAGAGGAACTTCTTTTTCCTGAGATGTGGCCCCTGCCACCTGGTCAGGTTCTGTGGCCATGTTTACCCTGCCTCAGCCTGTCTCTCCATGACCTTTGCTGATGAAACCAGGGGTGGAGACCCAGCTTCTGAAACCAATCCAGAAGCAGGGCTGGGTTGTCAGCCTTTGCCAGGAACTTGGAAGTGGGACAGGAGACTGGCTCGGTTACCTTTAGACACTGGACCAGTGAGGTCACATGAATGTAGAAGCTGAAGCTACACTGTGGGGCCTGTGCAATGACAGGGAAGCAAAAGCATGGATCAGGAGTGCAGAGGGAAACAGAAGCCAGAGAGCAAGAGTGCTGAAGGAGCCACCTTACTCCTGAAGAGGCCCGGCCTGGAGGTCCAGGCCCTGGGAGGTCCACCTGTACTTCCTGCTCTTTGAGTCTACAAGGCAATGAGAATTCTTTAAAACAAATTTCCCTTCAACAGAAACAAGTTTGAGAGCCAGGGATTTAGCTCAGTGGCACCACGCCTGCTTCTCAAGCACAAGGTCGTGAATTTGATTTCTGGTACCAAAAAAAAAAGAAACAAGTTTGAGAATGTTTATGGTTCTTGCAAAAAATCTCTAGGATTACATAATTTTCCAAAAAAAAAATAGAGTCCTATTCTGAAGCCAACTGTAAAATTCACATGAATATTAAAAATTAAGAATGAAGGGCCGGGGATTTAGCTCAGTGGTTTCGCCGCCTGCTGCGCAAGCGCAAGGACCCAAGTTTGATCCCTGGTACCAAAAAAAAAAAAAACCCAAGAATGAAATACTTTTTATAGCAAGATTTTAGAAAGCAAGAATCACAAAGGAAAAGATAAATTTGACCCCAACAAAATTCAAGCTGTCCATTATAAGACATGATACCAATTTAGATAAACATTTCCCTAAGCACACCCCTCACCTCACCGATAATAGTTTTTCTCTGAGGACATACATTGGGAACAGGCACGACAGGCTGATTTCTATGTTAAAGGTCCCTCAGCCTGGATATTCAAGTCTCCTGTGACTTGCCCAGAGTCCTTCCCTACAGGCTGCTAAGAAAGGCTGCAAGTCCTAGGACAGGGTCTCTATCACTTCCAGAAAACCAGCTGGAATTGGAAGACTTTGTTTAAGAATCAGCTGCACAGCTGCACTTTGAGTCAGCCACATGGCCCCAGTGGCTGGGGATGAGTTAGTCGTGCTTGGGTAGGTGGGGGTGTCAGAGGTGTCACAGCATCAAACTACATGTAAGCATGATATAACAACAACATACAAACACAAATGCAAAACCAAACAGGAAACCTCAGGAAAGTCTAATCCAAAGGCAGATTCTTAACTTTTAGGGCAATGACTTACTGGGTTCCTGATATGCTCCCTCCTACAAGTCTGAAGAGAAAGGCCATGTTTGAGAACCCCAAAGCTTTCTGTTGCAAAACTGAACCCCTGTAAGCAACAGAGGTCTGAAGGCCAAAGGAAACTGAGTTTTGTCTGGCCTGAATTAGAGCAAAGCAGAGCCCTGACCAGAGCCTGCTGGGCTTCCTGACCCATTCTGGGTCCCCTCCCCCAGCACGAAGTGCTCACATACACAAAGCCAGGCAAGGCCAGATGCATGGCATAAATGGACATTTCTGCCCACAGAGAAAGGTTCACACTGAGGCCCCTTCTGCTGATTTAACATTCAAATGAACAACCTGAAGAGGGTGAACCATGAAAGTCCTAAGAGTGCGGTTGGCACTGAGCTCTTCCTAGTCATGAAATTCGAGGCCATGAAGACAAACCCCAAGAAACTCTTCTCAGGATGAGGCTGTGTGGCAGTGTTTCCCTATGAGGCCCCAAGTAAAATATCCACATTCACAGGCAGTGGACTCTAGACCACTGATTCTGCTTGAGGAAGAAACTCCAACCCCACTGGCTGCTTATTTTTCATTAAAACATACTCCTACTATGCTGAAGAGAAATGAAGACCCAAGAGACCCACTCATTGTCTAATGAGGTCTCTCAATGAAACAGCAGTCATTCCACTTATCAAGATGCATGTTTTACACACATTGCTTCATGTATTACCATAGCCCTGTGAGGGAAACATTATCTCCATTCTACAGATGACAGATTAAGTCATTGTGGCCAAGATCACCCAGCTGGCAAATTCTGAACACAGCCAGACTCTGAACATTGGTTGGCCTCCTCCAAAGTTGATGCTCTTTGTACAATCGTCTATCATCTTTACAAAAAGAGACAAACAAGACTGTAGGGGAGAAGGAGAGCCATTTCTGAAGAGTATTATAACTAGAGTTTTGTTGTTTCGTTTTGTTTGAGACTGGCTTTGCTAAGTAGTTCGGACTCGCCTTGAACTCACAGCAATCGTCCTGCCTCAGCCTCCAGAGTGCTGGGATTACAGGCATGTGCCACCACACCTGGCAACTATGGTGTTTTGTATCTGGCATGCATAGGTGCCAAGAACAGTTATGGTGAAGGATGGGAGGCTCTGGTGCTAAATGTCGAAAATGCCACCTCAATTTGGGACATCCTCTGGAAGGGAGCTGCACAATCACATTAGTCTCCTCTGGCCCAAACCCACGGCATGTTTGCCCAAGAATATTCCCTGCAGAGGAGCCAGGGAAGCTGCAGCAAGTTCAGAGACAAGGAATGAACTCCAGTGAGCACGGGAATGGGGTGGGGCAGCCTGCAAGGGCAAAAGAAAAGGCCTGGGAGGCTTTGCCGGGAAACACTAAGAGGAGAGGGGAGGGAGAGGAGCCTATAAACTTGCCAACAGTCAGGCCAAGGTGAACCCCAGCTCCTGGCGCCTTCCCATTCGTATTCATTCCATAAGGCTGGCCAAGTCTCTGAACCAGCGGCCAGGGGGAGGGGCCTCCCTGCTGCCGGGGAGAAGTAAATTCGGACTGAGCCTACTTCTCAGAAGGAGAGTGGCTTGGGGGGCTCACTGGTGGAACTCCGAAGATGAAAACACAGAGCTGTTAGACGGGCAGGTCTCCCAGAGCATTTGGGGGATGTACCCTGACATGTGGAGGCTCTCATCGAGGTGACCTCGAGGGCCTTCACAAAGTCCCTCGGGCCCTCCACCACCTCTACCGTGAGGACCCGCAGACGCTGGAGATGCGCTCAGTTCGCACTGATCTAGAGAGGGGCGGGTTTCTGGGGCGCCGCGAAGGGCCACAGCAGCTCGGGTCACGCCTGGAAAGGTCAACGCCAGGCCCCGCGAAAGCCTCGGCCCCTCCCGCCTCGTCCCCTCACCTCCTCCCGCGCCAGCGCCGCCCCGCGACACCGGGGCATCTTGGCGGCGAAGGCGGCGGCCCCGGCCGCGGAGCTGAGGTCCTCGGCGGTGACTGCCAGGAACTCGGCGACGCTGAGCTGCTCGGGCATGGCGGACGCTGGGCTTGGGCACGGGGTCTGCTGGAGCTCGGCGTGGGGGGCTCTGCGCTGCTCTGAGCTATGCTGGCCTCAAAGCCCGCAGCGGGGGCCGTCCTGGCCTCCGCAGCCCCGCCCCCAAGAGCCCCCCAGCCCCGCCCCCGAGCCGCTCGCCAAACTTCTCGGCCCCGCCCTCAAGGGCTCTGACTCGGCCACGCCCTCAATTCCTTCGGTTCCCCCCCTCTAGGCCCCGCCCCAGGGGAGCCCAGGTCTCTCGCTTAACTCCTTGACCCCGCCCCCGTGGCCTAATCCGGAAGAGCCCGCCCCTCTCCTAACTGGTCGGCCACGCCCCCGAGACCGTGCCTCCTCCCAGCTTCGCCCCCCCTCCAGACTCCGCGGAAGCTGCTCCCGGCGCTTCGCCCCATAGCTTCCTCCTCGTCTGTACCCTTCCCTTCCACGCCTGTTGCCCCATCCGTGCGCCCCTTCTCAGTGCCGCTTGCCTCTTCCTCCTCTACTAGTTTATTCCCAGGCCCCCATAACCTCGCCCCTTGCCTCCCTCGCTCCGCCCGGCTCGCCCCACCCCTGGCCGGTGTGCGATTCTGCGCTCGGCCAGGGGCACACACCTGCTGATCGGGTCCACCTCGGGGACTGTGTGACCTCACGCCTCAGGCTAACTGTGCGGCTTTGGAGAAATTCTCTCAGCGGAACCTGTTTCCTTATGTGTGAAGTGGGAAGCATGAAACCCACGTGGTCCTAGGCTTGCAAATAAAGACCCTTAAACCCTTAATCTTGCGTGCACCCCGCGGACGCTGTGACCCTTCCCCTTCGCTTTTCCTGGGTGCCACTGGTGCCTTTCACCCTCTACCGTCTCATCCCCTGGGGTGGATGAAAAATGAGGTTTAGAGGCTGAGGCAGGAGGATCGCCGCGAGTTCGAGGCCAGCCTGGGTTACACAGTGTATTCAAGCCCAGCCTGAACTACACAGCGAGACCCTGGGTGAGGGGGCGTGGAGTTCAGGCCAGAAACCAATTTAGGTTTAGCTTATGAGCTTGAAGTTCTTTGGAAAAACCAGGGAAGCTCCTTGGTGGTTAATATTAGCTTTGGAGTGGGAGAGACATAAGTCCCAGGAGTGGTTCTGCTGTTGCCCGACTGTTGTGCTTTCGCTTAAATTGCTTCCCTGGCTTTTAATTAATCTATAGACATTTGATATTACGTCATGGCCAAGATTATGTTTATTTTAGATCAATGCCCCGTACTAAAAAAATAAAAAATAAAAATAAATGAGAGTGGGGGTGTGTGAGGATCCCAGTGCTTGAGGTACCTAATGAAGATATTTCTCAGCATCATGACTTTTTGAAGAGAATCTGGGGTTTTTTGTTTCTTTGTTTGTACCAGGGATCGAACTCAGGACCTTGCGCTTGCAGGGCAGGCACAGTGCCACTGAGGTGAATCCCCGGCCCAAATCTGGGTTTTTAATGAAGCCAGGAATTGAACCAACGGCCTCGAGCTTGAGCCCTACCACTAAGCTTTGTAGGCATGAAATAACTGCAGCATTAGGAGCAATAGCTGGGACAGTGCGCACCACTATCATGGGATTATTGTGCTTGATTTGGGTCCTGGGCAAAGCGCAGGTTCAGGATGTTGCTGGGATGGGGCGTTGGGGAGGGTGAGAAGTGAGACAGAGAGGCCCTGGGAGCCAAACTGTGTGGCGCCACCAGCAGCAGGGACAGCAGGGACAGCAGCAGGAGCTCTGGGGGTTCCAGGTGAGTCAAAGTCCTCAAAATTTTTTTTTTTGGTACCAGGGATCGAACTCGGGTCCTTGCGCTTGCGCAACAGGCGGCAAAACCACTGAGCTAAATCCCCAGCCCAACTCAAAAGTTTTAAGAAACAATACGATCTGGAATGGAATGGCAAGGAAGCAAGGGTGAGGAGGAGTCTAGCAGGCCAGCAGGAGGCAGCAGTGGTGGAGGCCCAGAAAAAGATGGTGGAGGCCTCAGCCTCGGCCTCAAGTAGCAGCTGTGATGGCGCCGGACAAGGAGGTTGGGGGAAGGAATCAAGGCCAAATGCCAGCTGGCCAGTATTCTCTTAAACTCTGTATGGTCATGAGCTAAAACTGCTCTGTCACAGCTGCTAGTGACCTCCACGTGGCCGAGGCTTGTGGTCAGGCTCGGTCCTCCTCTTGCTTGGCCTCCCAGCAGCTTCCTTATATCTCCTCATGCTCTGCTTCCTTAATGTTCCTTGACTGCACTAGGCATGTTGCTGCCCCAGGACCTTAACACTAGCAGCTCCCCCTGCCTGAAAGGCTCTTCCTTGAGATATCCACATGACCAATTCCCTCGCTTTTTTCAAGTCATAGTTCTTTCCATATTTTTTTTTTCTTTTTTTTTGGTACCGGGGATCGAACTTGGGACCTTGCGCTTGCGAGGCAGGAGCCAGAACCACTGAGCTAAATCCCCGGCTCAGGCTCAAGTCATAGTTCTAATGTTGCCATCTCAGCGAGGCTTATCCTAACCACCCTGTCTGAACGTCAGGCACCTGCCCCTCCCCCAACTCCCATCCCACACTGTCAATCACCCTCCCCTCTATTCTTTCCTGTCTAGCACTTAACACCTTTTTGCAAGCTGCTTTTCTTACTTTTCTACTGTTTGCTCCTTTATTAGGGGCTTCTTTGTTCTGATTAAGGCTTTGTGGGGAGCCAGGCTCCCAAGCATAGACTGCTTGGTTTCAACCCTGTCTTTCCCCTACCTTGAGTAAATAGCTTAATCTCTGTGGGCCCCTCTTAATCTCTCAAGAGGGAATAATAATGGTACCTCCCAAGGTCTTCCAGCCACTGCCCCTGTGAGAGCCAGCAGACACAGATCTTAGAACCCCAACTCTTAAATTCCCTTGAGAGAGAACTGCAGAGTTGCAGGCTGCATCAGAGGTTCTCAAAGCTCCGTGTTGCACAATTCCAAGACTGAATTGTCGTCTATGCCACGGAGCCCCCTAGCGTTGAGCAGGGCTCAGCCTGTGCAGCTGGAAAGCTGTGAGTGCAGTAGCCCTGGGTGCCCACTAGGGTGAGCCAGGCTTCCTGTGAGCTTTGGGGGCCACCCACACCCACAGGGGACAAGCGCAGCTGTGGAAACCTTCCCTCATGAACCAGGGGACAGTTTCCAGAGAAGAAGGGTGTGGACTAATTGCAAAAGTCTGTAGTTGTCATCAGACTCCCAAATGGTCTGTGAACCCATAAAAAGTTGGAACTTGGTGAAGAGACAAGTGGTGAGCACATAAAAATATCCATGTAGAAAGAGTATTATGAAAGCACAAGGACCTGAGTTTGATCCCCGGTACCAAAAAAAAAAGTGCTTGAAAGACTATTATGAGATCTGTCCTCACAACTAGGAAATTCCAAAGAAGTGGGCTTGAGGTGGGGTGGGGGTCCCAGGCCATGAAATAATAGTGCAAATGAAAAAATGAAAATGAAAATGAAAAAAAAAATAGTGCAAATGAAAAAAAGAAGAGACTTCTTTTTTTTTTTTTTTGGTACCAGGGATCGAACTCAGGTCCTTGTGCTTCCACAGCAGACAGTGAAACCACTGAGCTAAATCCCTGGCCCAAGAAGTCTCTTCTTAAGCCTAGTAAGACAGGCTCGGGTTTCAAGTCTGTCTGTGTTCCTTATTAACTGGGATAGGCTCAGTTTCCTCCCATAGACAGTGAAAGTCACAATGCCTGCCTCTGGGAGAGTGCATTCATAAGGCACACAATGCTGAAAGCATTCAGAAAATGGGGACTGCTGTTATGATTCATCTCTGACTGAAGAAAAGAAAAATTCGACAGTTTTCTTGACATCTGTGTTCTAGTTCTAGAGGTCAGACATCTGAAATGGAGGTTCCAGGGAAGACCCCATTTCTTTGCCCTTTCCAGCTTCTATAGGCTGCCCATGTCCTTAGCTCACGATTCCTTCCTCCATCTTCAAAGCTGGCAGTGTGGTATCTTCAATTCCCTTTCTCACTCTGATAATGATCCTCCTGTCTCTTTCCCATATGAGGACTCTGATTACCTGGGGCCCACCCAGATGACACAAGACAATCTCCCGTGACAAGGTCAGCTGATTAACAAACTTAATTTCAATTATAATCCTAATTTTCTCTTGCTATGAAAATACTATACTCGAAGGTTCTGGAGATTAGGATTAGTGCAGACATCTTTGGGGGTAAACGAATGTTACTCTGCCTACCACAGTGGATAAGAAAACATCAGATACCTCAGACAGAGGTGCTTAGAAAAAGACATGAAGCTCTACCTCTATAACTTTTTTCCTCCCTGTGTTTTGCCTTCCTAGTCAGTGCTCAGTAAAAACTTGTGAATTAGTTTTAGAGAAAACTACTGACTTGGACCCGGAAGGAAAATGCTGTCAAAATGAGAAGAACTAAAATAGCCTGGGTCAAAAGAGTGTTAGTTACCCTCACACTGGTGAGCATTTTCCTTCTATTCTTGTGACCACACAGTACAATAACCGTCTTGTGTATCATCATAAGGGACAGCAGATCAGGTGCGCTGCAAGTTCCAGTTGTTTATCCAACAAACATTTCCCCAACACCTCCAAGAAGCCTGCCTACCACCAACTGCCAGGGTGAGAGCTATGAAGAAGGCACAGGTCCTAAAGGAGCTCAGACCACTGCAGGAGGATTCAGGTAATTGAAATAATGGGATCAGGCTCAGCCTCAGGGCCTGAGAGTACACCTTGCAGTGAAGGGGTTGGAAGGATTGCTGGCTTGCTTTGGGGGACACATTGCTGGGGAGAAGATTCCTTGTGATTTTGGATACCACCTGCAGGTTTCCTTGAGCACTCATTCTTGAAGAACATCGTGTGCATGCGTGCATGCTTGCTCATTCATGCATGCATGTGCACACACACACACATACACCATGCTTCCCTTGTACCTCCAGAACCCAAATT